ACACACACACACATATATATATATATTTTTTTATTCTTGAATGGTACACCTGGGAGGGAAAGAAGGTGTTGCAGGAAGGTGGAAGGGCCTCTACTGAGAGTGTCCACACTGGGCTCAATGTCACATTCTCAGGGAGCCAGACCCAGTGGGGTAGTGAGGGAGTCCCTCCCCTCCTACCCTCTGCACTTCCAAATCTCTTCCCTTCCCTCCATGTCTCCTGAGCTGTACTCATGGAGCAAGCTCATCCCCCTTAGCCGTCTGTTCCCTATCAGTTGTGATCAATTCTATGGCACAAGTTCTCCTAGCTCCAGGTTAAGTAAGAAGGGATCAAAGCATTGAAAACATCCCCCTCTCTCACTTACCCTACGACACACAACTTGCTTATTCTTCCAGTCTGACTTAGCCCCTCCCCAAATCCTGGCCAGCTGAAGGTGTGAAAAGCTCAGTAAAGCTTTAGAGGATCTTTTGCTCTCGAGTGTGTGCAGAAGAATTATGGCTGCTTCTATTTCCCTTTAGCCTTCCTGGAAGGTTCTTGGTCAAAGCGGGTTGAACCACAGAGGAGTTACTTTTGTACCTTGCTCTTGTAGGATTGTTCATCACCTTTTTGTCTAGACCACGTCATCTTCTCTGTCAAGAACTTCCATCCTCCTCATTCAGGAAGGGTGAAGGGGAGAGACAGCCAACATTCAGGTAACATACGACCATCTCTGTTTGTATATAAGCCAAACTGAGCACACCGTTTAGGGACGTTGAAAGAAACGGCATCATGAGTCAAGGTTGCCTTGTCTACACGTACAGGCCCTTGACTGCGTGCCTGTGTAGACGACAGGCACATGCAAGTGTATGCGAACACTCATGCACATGCAGTCCATCCTCTCTTGCCTCGAATGCACCATGGAGCACGGCTCTGACGTGCTCTCCGTCATCCACCCATGACCTCTCTGTCCCAGTTCACCACCAACGGGTCTCATGGAATGGAAACGAACACTTTTTTTTTTTTTTTTTTTGGCTTATATAGAAACACACGTGGCCTCCTGCCCTCTGCGTGGCACACGATCCCTAAAGAGACGCCACCAAAGTGACAAGAATTTAGCAAAAGCCTCTTTGCATTCACAGCCAGTATCCTAATGGTCGTTTTTGGACGCTTTTGCTTTCTCACCTAAACCTAAAGGTCCATTTGGGAAGAGCTATCCTGTGCTCACGTGGCCTCCTTTTGCTTCTCCCTGCTTCACTCCAAGTGGGTGGCAAACAGTCCTTCGGTGCTGGGAGGAAGCCTGCACGCAGCCACTTCCCTTCTCCACTCTGCCCTCCCGGTGCTGTGCTGAGCGAGCCCACTGTATTCTTTCCCGGGACCAGGAACGCCTGACAGGTGGGGAGGGAGTAGAGAACTAGAAAGGGAGAAGAGACGGTGCTGGTCACCAGGGTTGCCCTCCGAAGGAATCAGAACTCCAGGATTCCGTAAATAAAAGAAAACGACAAGAAAGGAGCAAATGGGAACCAAGTTCACCCCCGTCACCCTCCGTGACATGCGCACCACATGCCCACAGCCCCACCCTCCCGTACCCACCTTAAAACCTCTCTCTTCCCTCACTCAGACATCAGACTCAATACTAGAAAGTTTCTCATAAACATGCCCATTGCTGGAGCCATTGAAAGCCCTGGGGTTTTTGTTGTTAGGCACACAGGGGTTGGACTGGTTCCCTATACAGATGTCTTTCTGGAAACGGCCTGGCACAGCCCCGTGAAGGGCCGAGACCACTGGCTTGTTGGTGACAAGGGCGCGGAAGTCTGGCCTGGCTTTCGGCGCCCCCGCCACCGTGGGCTGCCTGAAGAAGTAGGATTTGCTGCCATGGAGCAAGCACTGGTCGTCCCCAAAAGTGGGGATGAAAGGGTTTTGCGTGACCCGGTCAGGGTAGAGCGACTTGCTGAGCATGTAGCCGCTGCCGGGGTTGTTGTGGTGGTGGTGGCCGGCAGTGGGCACTGAGGACTTGTTGTTGGCAAAGGTGCTCTCGCCAGCTGGCATCTCAAACATGTGGGCGTAGGGACTCCCGTCCAGGAACCGGCCCTTGTCTTTCAGGCTCACGCTGCGCGGGGCCAAGGCGGCTTCTTCCTTCTGCAGGTCCACGAAGGTGTCGTAGGAGTGCTGCCGGCGCAGTTTGTTCCGGGTCTTCTTCTGGGCCTTGGAGTTGGTCGGGCTCTGGGGGTACTTGGCGCTGGGGGCGTTTGACGGCACCGCCACGGGAGCGGCTGGCTGGTCCAGCTCCTGCAGGGAGTTGTCCTCGCTGATGTCGTACAGGTTGCCTGCTTTCTTGCAAGCCTCACACCGGATGCACGCCTGCCTGCCCGAGTTCTGCCCGGTCACTGTCGTGGAGTAATTGTGCAGCTTGGAGGGGCAGCTGCGGCAGAAGTTGCCCCCGGAGCGGTCCTCCCAATCCACGTTGGTCAGGTTCTTCTCCCAGGGTGCCGGGACCCCGCTGACCACGCCGTGCTTGTCGCCCGCCCCGTGTTTGACGTGAGACCTGTTGGTACAGGGCCCGCCTCCGCTGACCGAGTCTCGCTTGAAGTCATCGCTCTGCTCCTTGTAGATATCCGTCAGGTCCACGTGCTCCCAGTGCGGGGAGTTCTCCTTCGGGCGGAACTGGTCCAGGTAGAAGTCCCGGAGCCCTTCCTTGTCCCTGAAGTAGCGCTTGTGGTCCGGGGAGCGGGGCGGCCGGCGGCGGTAGGCCAGCTCGATCTCGTCAAACTCCCGTCGGGACTTGGCCGAGGCCGGCCGCTTCTTCAGGCTGTCCTTGTATTGCTGCTTACGCCTCTTGGCGGCGTTGCCCTCGATGTTTCCGTAGGTGACCGTGTGCGTGGATATGTCGGACACGTCGGAGCGGATCAGGTCATCGTGGCCGCTGTAGCGGTCGCTCTTGAAGGAGAATTTGCCGTACAGGTCGCTTAGCTGGCTGTGTTTGGAGGAGGGTAGGCCAATGTCCAGGGGCTTCTTGCTGATGGACCGTGGCTGGGTGGTGAAGGGCGGGTTGTCGCAGTCGTAGAGCCCGTCGATGGAGCTGGCGCTGCCGATGCTGTGGGGCCGGTGGTGGTGGTGATAGTGGTCTTGGTACACGTTGCTGTCCTTCAGCTGCAGGTTACCAAAAGTTCTCTCCACCTCACTGATGTAGTCGCTGAAGAGGTTCTCCTCGCACGGCGGGTTATTGTAGGATTTGCAGTCGGAATGCGTGAAGCTGCGGCGGTGCTCAGAGATGTCATAGACGGATGACTCCCGTCGGATGAAGTCCAGGGCGCTCTGGGGGGAGCCGTTCACACCAGACAGGTTGGCCATGTTCTTGGCCGTGCGCAGCAGGCGCAGGATGTTGGAGTGTGTGTTGTTCATGGTCGCGGTGGGGGAATTCATCACGGACTGGCGCTCCTCGATAGCCACTCCGTGGATGCAGCTGTAGATACCCTGGAGCAGGAAGAGGAGGAGACGGGTCAGGTCTCCCTCAAGGCTGGAAATGACCACAGACAACGCTCGCCCTCCACCCCCCCCCCACTACTAACTGTCTTGCTGGAGAAGAAAAGTCAGGGAAAGCCTGAAACAGCCTTAGTATACTCAGAGGATGATGTGGCTAGAAGCTTGCCTGATTTGTCTCTTGAATTGGGCAAGTTTCATATCATGACCTAAGCTTAGTGGCCAGGCTCTCTGAGAGGGGACAAGGCCAGTCCAAGTGACTTGAGCAAACAGACTGGAATCATAAGACATGACATTCTATGCCGCCACTCCACCATCGACTTGCATTGATTTTCCTTCCTAGGCCTAGGTTTCCGCATCTTAAAAATGAGGCCGTGATATCAATGGATGGCAAAAATTATCGTCAGCTGCCTGGAAATCGACAGCCATGCACCACGGGTGCTGGGACTGTTCTGCCCTGGACGGCCACCCTTGGCTGACGGCACAGCATGGGGGAGCTCCAAGCTCACAAGAGCCACTCTTTCCCAGCTCTGACAAATTTTGAGTGGCTTTTAGGATTTTGGTCACCCAAAGAACGGCTGAGCAGTTCTCTTCTTGAGCCAAGCATGAACCAAATTCACAGAGAGAGTCCGAGAGCCCTGGGGTCAAAGAAGGATTTTTCTCCTGCTGTGCCCTACACCGTGGGAGGGCAGAGCTAGGAGAGATATCAAGTACTAAATAGGAATAAATAATTCCCTTGTTGAACCTTTCATTTATTCTCCTTAGCTCCTGGTTTCCTTCTTACACTTTCTCACTCGCTTAATCTTATCATACATAATTAATATCGTGACAAATTAGTATTGATTGAGAACTCCCTGGTGCAGCTCTGTGTACCGGGCCTTGAAGAACACCGTCCAGGAGAGGTAATGGGTTGGGGTCAAGTCCCAAGTTAAACTAACCTGCTAATGTCTTGCTCCCTGCCTTGAAAAGTGGACACATTTGGAACTTTTCTCTCTGGCAAAGGAAATATGTGAAAGGGAGGTAATTTGAACTGGGTCTTTGAAACAAAGGGGATTGATTTGGAAGGGAAATTATCCCGACAGATGGGGAAGAGAGCAGAGAAGATTAGAACGGAGAATTGCAGCTAAGTGGGAAAGAAGAGAGGTTTAGGGGAGGTGAGCCTCGCCATCTCAGAGGGCAGTAGGGAGACACGAGATCTTCAAGGTAAGGTTACTCTCCTTGCTTTCTAACCCTTCTTGATTATGGCCAAAGGAAAGTGCCGAGTGCTTTTCCTCTGCAGAGGCCTTAATTGCACGGCAGTCCCATGAATGGGATTTCTATTACAGGCCACCAGCTCCCACTGCTCCTGCCAGCACCCTATCTGGGACCTTAGAAAGGACCACACAGTGGAGCAATGTGGCTCAGGGACCACACGTTCCTTCCTCCTGCTTACTTACTGAATCGCTTGAATCAGCTCACAGTCAGAGAGGAAACTGTTCTCTATCACTAAAATACTATAGGAAAATGATGAAAAGATAGAACAACTTAATGAGAAATCCATTTTCTCACATAACTCCATTAGAGCCGAAGTTAGTTATAGCTGAAATCTAGACCTCTATTCTAAAAGGACAACTGAGGTCACTTCTCATGACTGAATCCCATAACCATACTGACAAAATTAAAAGACACCTGCTTTTTTCCCCGCCCTCTTCCCTGTGATCCTCTGTTCATATTGAAAACTGAGTTCCAAATCCTCACTTTTGACTAGAAACTTAGCAAAGACCTAAATAAAGAACAACTTAAGAGTTATACTCTTGTTCCAATTAAGGAAGTTTCTGGAATGTGAATTTCTTATGGGTCAGTACTTACTTCAGCAGGTTCTGTAAAGCTCTTTAACCCCCCATAAGTCACACGTGTTTAAAGCAGCGAGGAACAGTGAACTACCAATAATATATCTTTGTATGTCAGAATAAGAGAGATACATTACATTTCCCTATTTGAATAGAGATGTGATTTAAAAAAAAAAAAGATTAAATGATTAATACAGCCCATACAGAATTAACTAATGGTGATGGAAGGCATTTGGAAGAAGGCCAAATTTTTCATTTTGATAGATCTGCCAGTTCTTATTGAGAACCAAATGCCCAAACCCCACACACAAAGCTGTTTCTTGAACGAAAAATAGTATCACCCGTTTTTGTTTTTGAGCCACCTGAAATTATATCCCCCAACCCCCTGGGGAAACATACATGACGTAGTTTCTGGCTTTAGCTGCACAGGGCTGGAGTTAGTGCCCTCCTGGGTCTCTCTGCTTTGCACAGTGCTAGACTACGCTATCCTTCACAAGCTCCCGGCACCTCAATCAAACCACTTACTCTGCTGATGGAGAAGACCATGCCAGGCTTGCCAGAGCAGACACCCATAAAGCAGTGCCGGAACTGCCAATAGAAAAGGTGTTCGCAGATGAAGGTGATGAGACTGAGGGCCATGGCTGCGCCCAACATGTAGAAGACGCCCGCCATGTTGTCAATGTCCAGCTGGCTGCTCATGACCTCATTCTTTTCGTTGTGGCAAATGCCAGTGAGCCAGAGAGCTTCCAACTCCTCCATCTCCCCTGGAGACACGGCAGGAAGGAAAACGGGTAAAGAGAGAAGACAGAAGAGCAGAGAAAGGGGACAAGAAGGGGTATTGGGGAAGACAGAGAAAAACATGAGAGACAAAGAGACAAGGAGACAGAAAGAAAATTAATAGGGAACGTTCCCAGTAATTTTATTAATACCACTATATATTAACTCATCAATATACTCAACATGTATTCAGTGACAGCTTAATGGGGATACCGCAGTGACACAAAGATATGAGGCATTACCCCCTACTCTCCATTATCTATCCAGTGCCAATTGGTATATAAATAATCAACATGACTAGCAATATGCAGGTAACAGGGGTTCAAATTCCTAAGAGTAATTTTGTGGATGGGGTGGCCAGTGGGTTTTCATGAGGAAGGTAGGACTTGCAGGTAGACATAGCGAATGGGTGAATTTTAATTTATCTTGCATAAAAAGGCACTCCAGGCAGCAAAAATGGCACGATCAAGGGGGAGAAGGTGGGAAAACACAAGGCTTGTTTGGAAAGAGAGGCAGAACAGCTCAACCAGAGTAAAAGGAGGCAAAGGAAGCTGAACAAAAAAGGTTGAAGCAAGATTGCTAAGGGCTTGAGTATCAGACTAAGTAAGCACTTTGTATTTTATTTTGCAGAGAGTAAGAAAGAACATTAATCAAACACGAGATTCAGAAAATTGCTCTTGAAAATATGCAAATCAGATTGGGCTGGGGCAGGAGGGACAGAGAGAGATAAGCAGAGAGATTGATTGACTCCCCACGGACCCTCACACTTACTGATCTCTTGTTGCAGAGGGAAATAGAAATATTAAGAATAGGGGGGAGCGAGCTTGAATCAAACGAGACCACCAAATTCAGACCTGCCTCCTTGTAACAGCACTTAGAGGAGCTTTGATTAATTCAATTGATGCCGGGGACAATAACCTTTATCCACTTCACTGGATATGAGGAATTAGCAAGGCAGAAACCTTAGACAAAAGGAAAATGAAGGAATCCACGTGCCCTAGAAGGCATCTAATTCTAGGCAAACAAAATTCTGAAAATCTCATGAAGGAAACTGCCCGTTCTAATTAATTCCAGTTTGGCTAAAACTTTGAACTTTGCATAAACCGACTAGAGCTTTGGCAAATTCTCCCAGTCATCTCTACTGCTGTCCTTCCTCATAGACAGAGGCTCTGTTATTGCTTTTGAGTGAGAGCTACATGAGAATTATAGAAGCCCTCATACCAACACGGCCTGTTAGCACTCCAGCTAGAACTCCCTCGTCTTTCCAATGTTAACCAAATCACTTTTCACTCATTTCTTTGATCAAACTATGATTTTCCTAACTAGTGGAACAGCCAACTTCACCCGGATCTGAAAATCCAGCTGTGTTCTTCTGCCTCTCATCTCATCCCTAACAGCAAAGGTTCTGTAGACATAATTTAGAGAACTGCCCGGCTAATGGCCTGTGGGGCCAAGCAGAGTCAGGCTGCTCATCCATAACTGGATTAGCTTCCTGATTAGCTAACAGGAAGAGTAGGTACTCTAGACACCCAAGTGAAGAGGGATGCAGAAGACATGAGTATAATGAGATTGGAGATGAGATTTTTTTTTCAAAGCAAGCTGGCTGTTCCGTCTCCTACCAGAATGACACTGGGGAGTCCCTTATGAGTGTCTGCCTCAGAGGACCCGGTCCCTGATTCCTACCTCTTCTAGCTGAAAGAGCAAGATGGGAGAGAGGGAAGAATGGATAGGTGTCCACAAGTATACTTCTCTGCCCTTTCTCTGGACCCAGAAAAAGCAGACACCTTTCCAAAGTTCTACCCGCTGCTCCGGCCACATGTGAGAAGATTGTTTGGAACACCTAATACTAACTTCTCTTACTTTATCCCTGAAAGTTTGATCATACCCTGCAATCCTGAGACATATCTCCTTGGCCAACTTCTCTAATCCTCCCTCCCAAATTTCACCCAGTTATGGGTTGAATTGTGTCTCCCCCTCCGGCCCCGGCCAAACCTCCTCCTCTCCTGCCAAATTCCTCTGTTGGAAGTCCTAAGCCCCAGTCCCTTGAAATGTGACTTTATTTGGAAATGAGGTAACTGCAGATGGAATTAGTTAAGAGGAGGTCATCCTGGAGTAGGGTGGGCCCCTAATCCACTATAATTGGCATTCTTAAAAATGGCGGAAATCAGACATACACATGTAGAGACAGACAGCAGGCACGTAGGGAAAATGCCATGTGAACGTGAAGGCAGAGATGGGGTGATGTGTCTACAAGTGAAGGAATGCTCAAGGTTGCCAGCAAACCACCATGAGCTAGGGGAGAGGCATGGAACAGATTCTCCCTCGAGGCCCTCAGAAGGAACCAATGCTGACACTTTGATCTTAAGACTTCTGGCCTCCAGAACTGTGAGCCAAATTTCTATTATTTAAGTCACTCAGCTGTGGTACTTTGTTATGGCAGTCCTAGGACTCTCATACCTACCCGCCCAAGTTTCTCAATATACTGTGAAATACTTTTCTGGAAAGGCAGGGGTTATAGGAGTGGAGAAGAAAGAAGGGCTGGTGTTTTGGACCGGCCATCAGAAGAGCCACCATCTTTGACTCACCATCTCCGAATAGCTGCAGGATAGCAAGGTCCACCTGGCGCTTCCACCCAGAATCTTTTTGGATGGCAATGCCATAACCAGTGGAAGCAAAGACCTTTCCACTGCCAATGGTCACCAGCTTGCAGCCTTCATCTCTGCCTGCCATGTAGTTCAGCACTGCTGCATCATAGATGAAGGCATCCAGTTTCCTGTGCAAAAAAGAAGCAAACAAACAATCCAGTGGAGGAATTTTAGGACAAAACTACCTATGGGGCCATTAATATGAAGCAGTAGCGTTCTAGCAAACGATGGGGAGAACTGGTTCAAAGTAAGGCTCGAGTTGGAACTCAGCCAGAATCTAAAGCCTAAATAAATCCCAGGCTGTTCTTTATGTGATTTCAGGTTGAAAGGAGGAGTTTTTCCCTCCCACTAGGAAGGATGAGAATGTAAGTCGGGCCTGAAGCCAACTCATAAGCTGTGTCTGAAAGGAGAAGGAGTAAAAAGGAATCAATAAAAATAATAACCAAAATAATGAAAAGTAACCATCACGATGATAACAACAAATAACATGGGTTAGATTTATATAACATTTTTCATTTCTCAGTTCATTACAGTCCAGAGTGGGGATAAGTGTAGGTGTATATGTTTCAATAGCTGCACAATGCTATTTTTGTGGTCAGAAAGGTTTCAATATTCTGTTTTACAGCACAAGGAAAGAAATGAGTAGTCGGGGTGGTCGCAGCACAGGCTTGTGTTAAGAGCAAATGTGCGCAACTACAGCAGAACCCAACATACAGAATTCAGATCTCTCAAGTTCCGAAACATCTAAGAATCTCATTTTATATACTGTGCTTTCCAAGGAAGGAATATGTAGGGAAGGGAGTAAGACTAGGGGTCAGGGCAGGAAGGCCTGGACCAATATTTCAAACCAACATTGAAACACATCAAAAGTAGAGAAAGAAATCCAGATACAGCCACATATAGAGAGGCCTGCAAGGAAGAAAGGCATGCATCCTTCTCTTCACTTTTACAAGGTAAGTTAGCTTTATCCCTCCTTGAGAAAAAATAAGCCCTTCCTGGTATAAGCTACAGAACATTTTCCAAAAAGCCCATGAGTACCCGATAGAAAAGTGGCACACCAAAAAACCCCAAACTCTGATATGACTGACAATCGTGGTTGTACCAGGGGCCAGACGACCTACCAAGGTGGTCCTATGCCCAAGCTCAAATTCTGTCTCCCGATATCTGCTGTGACTTTATGGTGATAAGATAGACGCTAACAGTATTTAAGTAAACATGTATCTGGGTGGCTTTTCCAGAACCGGGGCCACTGGGAGGTCCAAGTGCTGCTAGTTATCATACAACACAGGAGATCAGTTACAAGACCCCTTCACTCCAAAGTCCCAACAGCTATAATGCTCAATTATCGGTCTTATTCCACAGCTGTGGCTTTGAGGGGCCAAATGAATAAAGGGACCAATGTGGCTGGGATTAGGCAAGCCAACATGTTTGCAGTTCGTGGAGCTCCTTTGAACAAACAATACTTTCTAGAGTATAAAGCTGGATCAAAGACCACCAACAAAAGCTGGAACTGGAGATCAGTCAACACATTCTCACTCTTTGTTGTCTAAAAACCTTCACCCCTTTCCTCTTTCATTTCTCCCTTGTCCACAAGACACCAGAATCATCATTTTCACCTTCTGGTCAACAGGGCTTCGTTTCATGCGCAATACATGAACCTTAGCCTTGACTCTTCCTTTCTACTTTTATGGCTATTTCATTCCTGTTTCATGGTTACATTAATGCAAGTAGAATATAATTTGTAAAACAAAAATACATAAAAGTATATAACAGCATAGGAATCTTTGTGCACTGGCCTGAATTATATTGTCAAATTCAACTTGGAAATCCATAGGAAGCAAATGCACCCAAGCTTTAACTTTGTCTGGCACCCAAGCATGATATATCTGATTCAGTGTACATTTAATAAATGTGAGAAACATATCAAAGACTCTGAGCTTGGAAGCAGTTCTTACCCTGTTTTCAGGGAGAGCAATGCATCATCTACACCCCTCTGGTTGAACTTTCCCATGTAGGCATGCATTTCTGCGTAGTTATTGCGAATGTTCCTCTCTGTGCTGCCATTGGGCACAGTCCCAAAGCGAAAAGGGGGTGAGAAGTCATTAGGTCTCTGGAACTGGAGAGAGAGAAAGAGAGTGAGAGGGAGAGGGAGGGAGAGAGAGAGAGAGAAAGAAAGAAAATGCTTCAGAAAATGTGAAGAGATATTAAGTTAGCATTTGTGGATTTATATGGAAGGGACCCAACTACAGTTCACCAAACAATGGCCCTCACACAGGAACAGCAGATGCTAACTGAAAGAAGACTTCATCTCGATTTAATACGTATTGTTGAGAGCTTTATGTTAGCCCAATCCTGGATTAATCTATAACCTTTGCGTGTTCCATTTACACATACTGCACAAGACCAGTGATGATGGGAGTGTGCAGCTTAACTACAGTGGCTTAGTCACCTTTATGCTTGAAAACTGTGTAAAGTATGTTTCCCAGGCCTCTTAATTTAGGGGCTTAAATTCATTGTCATTGCACCATTTGAGGCTATAGGACCTTAGTGGGATGAGCTATAATGTAGTCCTAAACATAATTTATTGGGTATCAAATATATTTTCCTAAGAAATTTTCTCTTGACCTTCCTTGATGCATGGAAAGCCCATATTTATTCTATATGAGTTATAGAATAAATTGTAAAATCAAATACAGTTTTAATTATGTTCCTCCCCTTGCTTAAGAACTGGGAGTGGATCTCTAGTGCCCAGCATAACAAAGTGAAATCTCTTGGATTTTTCACACCTATGACATCAGCTTTATTTCTGGTATTGCCCTGCAATGAGTAAGTCTGTACTTTGCTTCCTGAACAAATAATTCATTCACTTGTATCTTCATGGCCTCGTATAGTCTGTCCCCTCAGCATGACCTCACTTTTCTCTTGAGGCCAATTCATGTCCTTCATCTCAAAATGTAACTCAAACAGTTTCTTCAAGACACCTTCTGTGAGTTCTTTCCTCCACCAAGTCCACCCAAAAGGACTTGATGTTCTTAGTTTCTATCACACTACAAATGCAATTATGCACTAAATGAGCTGGCTAAGTTCTGAGAGCTAGTCCCTGATATAGTCATTAAGAGTTTAAGCTCTAGAATGAGAGAAATATAGGTTGAAGATCAGCTCCGCCACATACTACTGTGCGATCTTGGGCAAATAACATGAACTCTCTGTGCACCATTTCCTCATTTGCAAGAGGGAGACAACAGAGTCTAAGTCACAAGACTGTTATGTGGATTAAAGGATTTAATGTATAAGAAGTGCCTGGCATAGCACCTTGCATGCAGTGAGTCCTCAATAAAGATTCTTTATATTATTTTTAACTTATGTCTATATTCTGCATTCCCCAGTAAACTTCACACTCTTCAACCTTCCCATTCTGTTAGTACAGAAATGATTGGATAGAATATGACCAGAGTAGCTCTGCTGCAGCTTGGCGTAGGAAAGACAAGGTAGACATTTAAAGTCCTCTTTCAATACTATACCACTGACTTTGTAAATATATTTGAAAATCTAACGTGCCAACTCAGGAGTACTCTGAACCTCTGGACTGTGTGGGCTTAGAGACATTCTCCTTTCTCTTTCCCTTGACCTGAAAAGCTCGAGAGCTTCCCAGAATATGGGGATTTCATAAACCACAAAGTGTCATAGCACCAGGAACCATAATTGCTATCTTCAGTGCTCGGAGTGGGCCATAGTTAAAAGCAGAGTCATGCAGTGGTGTCAGGCAATCTGTGGTGCATCAAAAGACCACTACTCTTCTTGACTCAAAAGGCTCCCAGTCTGACTGACCACAGTGCTTTTTGCCATTAAGAGTTTTTGTTTAATTGGTTTTGAAAGGGCTGTGATTTTTAAGTGAATAAAAGAGTCACAAAGAATTTTAGAATTGGGTAAGCCACTCAAGGTTAACTAGTCCAAACCTCTCGTTTCACAGATGAAGACTGAGGCAAAGAGGACAAGTAGTAGTGGCTAACATTATCTGGAATCAACTGGCTTAATTAATAGTATTCCTCACTGTCCCCAGCAGATAGCAAGCTTAAGTAAACAGGGATATGCTTTACTGGAAGAGACAGAATGCTATGCCTATCACTGTCAATTATAACACTTCATTTGTTTGACAGAAGGTATCCCCCAATCAACAGCAGAGTATGTATTATGGCAGGCAGCAATACAAACAAATGGACTCCCTTTAATCAGTGATTCCCCACTTTGCTAGGACAATGACAACTGATGCTCACAATGACCAAGATATTCTAGGGCCCAAAGTATTTTCTGAAACATCAGTGGAAGTTGAAACCATGTCCATTTAAATTCCAGCATAAATTAGTATATTTCTGGTTTGTTTTTTTTTTAATTGGCAATCCACATAAGGTATATGCAACAATTTTGATTAACCAAATGGAATCTGATGCCCCGAGTGCCTCATTTCCTGATGAAGCTAGATTATGGAAAGTTTCTGTACTACTCTTTCATAACCTTAAATTTTAAATTATCTTCAGATTTCCAGATGCTGTTTTATTAACTATGTCCTTGAATAAATAGAAACTAAAGAAATGATCAAGGACCTAAAATAGCCAAGATGACTGCAAAAAAGACAAAAAGTTGAAGGCCTTACAAGACCTGACTTTTAGACTTGCCCTAAAGTGACAGTGATCGTGACAGTGTGACATTAAGGAAATCATCAGAAGAAAGTAGAGTGCCCATCCATAGACCAACACATATATGGTGCAAAGACAGATAAAGTGGAGATAGGAGTGTCTTCAACAAATGGTACTGGAACAATTAGATTATCCATATGCAAAAAAAAAAAAAAAAAAGAACTTCATTCCACACCTCACTAGATACAGAGAAATTAACACACAGTGAATCATACACCTAAATATGAACTATAATATTTCTAGGAGAAAATACAGGAAAAAGTCCCCAAGTTACACATTACAGTTATAATATTTCTAGGAGAAAATACAGGAAAAAGTCCCAGAGTTACACAAAGATTTCTACATATGACACCAAAAGCACAATCCACCAAAAAAGAAAAAAGAAAAAAAAATTTAGACTTCATCAAAATTAAGAACTCTTTGAAAGACAGAGTTAAGATCATGAAGAGACAAGCCACCAATGGAGAGAAAATATTTGAAAATCGATTAAGCTATTAAAAATCTGAAGGAAGTAAATGATGATGACAGAGCAAGGCTCTGATGGAAAGCATCCTCCATAAGAAAACAATCAGAGGAACCAGCCAGCAGCACTGAAAGAATGGGAAAACGCAGTCCTTGGAAAGCAGGGTCTTGGAGGCAGATCATTTGCATTTGGCTCCTAGCTCTTTCTCTGACCAGCTGTGTGAATATGGGCAAGTTAGTTAAATTCACAGAGCCCCATTTTTCTGGAAGCATTATTTTTGATTAATAATAAGATAATATATAGGAAACCACTCAACCCAATATCTGGCACGTGGTGGATTCCAAAAATTATTAACTGCTTCGGTGAGGATGAAACCTTAGTATCTAAAATTGTCTTGTGTTAGCCAGTGTTTCCTAAGATGGAAAACTCATTTGTTCCTTAAACTAGGCCAGCTCTGGGGACCAAGAATGTGAGTGCACTGTCCCAGAATGTGCCAAAGCAGAAGCAGAAGTGAGCTTGGCTTTTTCTTTGAAATTTCTTGTCCCAGCTTGTGAGGTTTTTTTTTAACTGTCATTGGAACTTGAACTTGACTAAAATTCATGGCCACTGAGAACTGCATGTTCAGCGAGGCCTGTGGGGAAGAAGGAAAGAATAATCTTCCAAATACCTCGACGCTTCCACTAAATGCCCTGTAATAAAACGTTCCCCAAGCTGTGAGGCATTATATGGCACTTGTTTAACCTGAATGGTAATCGATGCTCTCTGGGGTTTGGGGAGGGAGTAACATTTTGTACTGTCAAGAACCAGGAGTCTTAAAATCCACAGAACAGGGAGGACCCCAAAAAACAATTAAAAAAATTAAAAAACCCAAATACACTAAGGAGACCGGTGTGGGACTAAAAAGCTCTGTCTGATTTTACAGTAGGGACTTTAACATAGTATTCCTTACTCGTCACCTTTGGCCATTACAGGACTTCCTTGAACTTGGAATCTTTTTCCAGAGTTACCCGGATTGGAATTTTAACAACAGACTGAGATAGAGAAATAAAAGCGCAGAAAGAAAGGAGCCTTAAGGAGCAGCCCCGCTTCATAGGTGAGGAAACTGAAGCCCCGAAGAGACCAAGTAAGTTGTTCAAGGCCACGTGGGGAAGCAGGAGGACAAGCTGAGGCTTGGTCTCTGGGAGCCAAGCCTTCCCACTGCCGACTCAGGCGCGGGCTGGCTAGCCATACGACTGCTCACTGGGAGGGAAGCCACACGCTCTAAGTGGGGCCCCATGGAAGGGTATCCTTCTCTCTCTGGCACATCAAATGCTGACTCACACTCACCCCGTGGAATCAACACATGGCTTCCAGCAATTACTGTAGGCACGTACTTGTGCAAGGGCAAAACCGTGCTGACTGTACCGAGAACTGTTTCTCACTTGATCCTCCTGGACGGCGGCAGGGAAACAGAATTCAGTCCTCTTAGGTATTCAGACCATCGTCTCAGCCCCCATCTTAATAACCTCAAAGTGAATTAGTCTTGGCAGCCTTGGCAGGAGAAAGGTGCTAGAAGGCCGGGAGTAAAGGTCCCTGCCCCACCCAAAGACGACGGGACTGGAGGGTTCTGGGGCTGCCATGGCTGGCACCTTCCCAATAGAGAGCCTCTCATACAGCCTGTTGCAGAGAGAAGGGGAAAGGGAAATGGGGGTCTGGTCTGTTTCGTTTTATTTATTAAATAAATATGTAAACTTATTTTCGTGTGTATAAGGCATTATTAATTCACTCACAGCGGTTACTCATATCCAACACCTATGTATTTGCTGGTAATAACTCACATTTTCTCCTTTAACTGTAATAATTAAAATGCATCAATTCATTTGGTAAATATATACCGAGCATCTATGAGTGTAGAGGACTGTATTAAGAACTAAGGATACAAAGATGAAAAAAAAATCCAGCTCTGTTTTCAAAAGATTT